CCTCAGCCTCCTGAGTAGCTGGCACTATAGGCATGCCCCACTGTGCCCAGCTAATTTTTCTATTTTTTGTAGATACGGGCTTTCGCCATGTTGCCCAGGCTGGTCTCAAGCTCCTGGAGTTAAGCAGTCCACCCTTCTGGGCCTCCCAAAGTGTTGGGATTACAGGTGTGACCCACCGAGCCTGACTGGTTAAGTCTTATTTTGTGCAGTGTCTCAGAAATAGGGACTCAAGTGGTTTGAAAACCTCAATAGAATCCTGTCTTTGCATGTTAGTCTATTGAATGTTGGTCGCAGCTCACAAAAGGAATGCTATTGATACCTGATTGTTGTAGAGGAAAATATATATGTAAATGTGTTGCTTTTTAGAATTGTTTCTTGATCGCAGAGTTAGCTTTTATATACCGTCCTGTAGGGACAAAGTCAAGACCAAAGGAGACACAGTCTCAAGTCAAACCATTTAAATATAGGTGAAATAATTAAATGAGTGTGAGGCCATAGAGAATGAATTCGCCATGATAGAACGAGTGTGAGTTACAATTTAAGTCTATTTTCTACACACATTCTAATGGGTTGCAAATAAATGCAATTTCCTATCAAACACATAAAACAAGTGTAGCCTCAACATTCAATATTTTGGTAAAGAGTCAACAGGAAACCTTTTAGAGCCACAATTTCTTAGAGAGTCATCAGGACTGTATGTCTTGGTAACAAGATAAAATTTAAGTTTGAATATAAAGGACTTTTACCCCAACCTGGCTAACAATATTTAGGTTATGTGGTCGATATGTGAACATCTAGAATTTGGCTGTACCTTTTTTTTTTTTTTTTTTTTTTTGAGGCAAGGTATCACTCTTGCCCAGGCTGGAGTGCAGTGGTATGATCACGGTTCACTGCAGCCTCAACCTCCCAGGCTCAAGTGATTCTCCCACCTTAACTCACACAGGTAGCAGGTACTACAGGCACGTGCCACTGCACCCATTTAATTTTTGAATTTTTTTGTAGAGACTGGGTTTGCTCTGTTGTCCAGGCTGCTCCAACTGCTGGCCTCAAGCAGTCTACCTGCCACTGCCTTCCAAAGTGCTGGGATTACAGGCGTGAGCCACCACACCAAGCTGACTGTAACTTCATAACAAAATGTGTGTTTTATATTCACAAAGGAGACAAGTCTTCCTAATCTCCCACGGGGTTCCTGTTGGAAGTGAAGCCCTTGGTTTGTACTGTGATCTGAACCAAGGCTGAATTTTGAGTATATAACTTTTTTATTCTAGGCAGTTGTGCTTGTTTTGTGATTCCCTCGGAGATTGGAATCTCTCAAAATGTGATATTCATGGAGGAGTTGGGATACCAGCAAACTTGTCCAACCTGCCTTGGCTGGTGGTTTTAAGTTTTTTTTTTCCCTAGGATCAGTTCAAGAACTTCTGGGTTCAAGGGATCTGGTCACCTTGGCCTCCCAAAGTGTTGGGATTACAGGCATGAGCCACTGTTTCCAGCCTTTAAAAAAATATTTTTTGAGACAGGATGTTGGTCTGTCACCCAGGCTGGAGTAGCAGTGGTATGATCACGGCTCCTGCAGCCTCAACCTCCCGGGCTTGGGTGATCCTTCCACCTCAACCTCCTGAGTAGTCAGGACCGCAGGCACACACCACCATGCCGAACTAATTTTCGTATTTTTTGTAGAAACGGATTTTTCCCTTGTTGCCCAGGCTGGTCTCGAACTCCTAGGCTCCAGCAATGCACCCCCACCTTAGCCTCCTAAAGTGCTGGGATTACAGGAGTGATACCCTAACTTAAGGTTTTGTTGATTTTTTCATTGTTTTCCTATATATACTCCAGGGTGTTTCAGAGGTAAGGTATTTCAATACATTTAATAAATTTCCCAGTCTAGACTTGGTGACAGCCATTTCTCCAAGGAGCTATGCTTTGATTTGTGGAAAATGCTATTTGAAGACCATAATCTAAGCACAGATATAGTCGCTGTTTCTAGTTAGGGCATTTATTATTGTTGTTATTATTTTTTTTTTAAGACAAGGTCTTGCTCTGTTGCCGAGGCTGGAGTACAATGGTGCAATCACAGCTCACTACAGCCTCAAACTCCTGGGCCCAAGCACTCCTCCTTCCTCACTCTCAAGTACCTGGGAATCACAGGCACATGCACATGCCTGGCTGATATTTTTTTTTTCCCTAGATGCAGGGTCTTGCTATGTAACCCAGGCTGGTCTTGAACTCCTGAGTTCAAGTGATTCTCCTGCTTCAGCCTGTCAAAGTGTTGGTATTACAGGCATAAGCCACTGTGTCTGGCCTAGTTTGGGCATTTCTAGGCCTTTTTAGTGGACTGAACTAAAAGAGACTATATAAATATAGTCTCAAACTCAAACTCCTGGGCTCAAGTGCTCCTCCTTCCTCAGCCTCCCAAGTACCTGGGACTATAGGCACATGCCACCATGCCTGGCTGATTTTTTCCCCCTAGGTACAAGGTCTTGCTACATTGCTTAGGCTGGTCTTGAACTCCTGGGCTCAAGTGATACATACATATAGTCTCTTTTGCTGAAAATCTGGGTTCTTAACCACATAATTATTCGCTCTTCCCAATGTATACATAATACATACGTATGCATATATGTAACAAATACCAATATTTTCCAACCATAGTATCTGAAGAAGTAAGCCTTCTTTGGGGTAGTATGACATTTCTGTGTTTGCCAATCACTTGAAATAACTTGTTCTTATGTGCATCACAATGTTTCTTCATCCGTGTTGCTGCCTGTGACTGATACGCTGTGTCAGTCAGCGTGGAGTTCTCCAGAAAAACAGAGCCAATAGGGTAGATGCAAGAGATGGATCAGGAGGAGTGGCTTAAGTGGTTTTGGAGGCTGAGAAGTCCCGTAATCTGCCGTCTGCAAGATGGAGACCCGGGAAAGCCAGTGCTGTAAACTAGTCCCACTCCAAAGGCCTGAGAACCAGGAGCTCTGACGTCTGAGGGTGGAAGATGAATGTCCCAACTCAAGAAGAGACAGAATTCGCCCTTCCTCCACTTTTTGTTCTTTTCAGGCCCAACAGATTGGATGATGCCCCAGATACTGCTCAGGTTGGCGAGGGCGGATCTTCTGTACTCAGTCTACTGATTCAAATGCTAATGTCTTCCAGAAACACCCTCATAGTCAGAAACAATGTTGACCAACTATCGGGCATGTCTTGGCCCGGGCAGACTGACACATAAAATTAACCATCACAGTATTTCTTTTGGATTACGGAGTAGAATCCCACGGTATGAATACAGCACAGTTTGATTACCTTTTCTCCTGTGGCTGGATATTTGGTGTCTTTCCAGTTTGGGACTATTGTGAATAATGATTCTTGTGAATAATGATTCTTGTATGAATTTGCTTTCGTTCTCCTGATATATATGCCAAGGAGTGGAATTGCTGAGTCATGGCGTATGTATATCATTAACTTTATTAGACACTGTTGAACAGTTTCTTAAAGTATTTACATCAGCTTATACTTCCACCAGCAGTGTGCCAGAGCTCCTGTGGTTCCCATTGTCCTTTACTGATTTCTGTCATTTTCTTCTATTTTCCTTTTTTTATTTTTTTGAGACTGAGTCTCACTCTGTCATCCAGACTGGAGTGCAGTGGCGTGATCTCAGCTCACTGCAACCTCTGCCTCCTGGGTTCAAGCGATTCTCGTGCCTCAGCCTCCCAAGTAGCTGGGATTAAGGCGTCCGCCACGATGCCCAGCTAGTTTTTGTATTTTTAGTACAAAATGCAAAAGATAGACGGGGTTTCACCATGTTGTCCAGGCTGGTCTCAATCTCCTGACCTCCAGTGATCTGCCCGCTTCAGCCTCTCAGACTGCTGGGATTATAGACGTTAGCCACCATGCCTGGCCTCTCCTATTTTCCTTATTCTGATATTTGCTCAACACTTTTCCAACGCTGTATTGAACTTTTTATTTGTGCTATCAAAGCTTTTTTGTTGTTGTTTTTGAGACAGAGTCTCACTCTGTTGCCTAGGCTGGAGTGCAGTGGTGCGATCTCAGCTCACTGCGACCTGTGCCTCCTGGGCTCAAGTGATTCTCCTGCCTCAGCCTCCTGAGTGGCTGGGACTACAGGCACACCACACCCAGCTAATTTTTGTATTTTTAGTAGAGATGGGGTTTCACCATGTTGGCCAGGATGGTCTCCATCTCTTGACCTCGTGATCGCCCTCCTGGCCTCCCAGAGTGCTAGAATTACAGGCATGAGCCACTGCACCTGGCCCTAAAGGATGTGTTTTGATCTTTTAAATCCATAGTTCAGAGTCGTGACACTTCAAGAGGTGGGCAGAGTATTCATTTGTGAGTGAACAGCATTTATGAGAAATTTGAAGAATTCTGATGTTTGAGAGACAGGCAGAATCCCAAGCTTTCCAAAACAGACTGATTATCACACCCATCAGGGAGCTTATGAAAATGCAAACCCCTGGAGCCGCTGGATGTTCGCAATCATTGGGCTGGTTAGGGCCGGGAATCTCTACTTTTAGAACAGCCAGATTATCTAAAGTAAATGGTCATTCCCAGTCCAAGCTCTCTAAATCATGGAGAGAAAAATCTAAAAACTGCATATCTGGATTATGTTATTCTAGCTTCCTATAGAAACTGGGCTTCAGGCTGGGCACAGTGGCTCACGTCTGTAATCCCAGTACTTTGGGAGGCCGAGGTGGGCAGATCATAAGGTCAGGAGATCAAGACCATCTTGGCTCACACTGTGAAACCCCGTCTCTACTAAAAATACAAAAAAGTAGCCGGGCTTGTTGGCACACGCCTGTAGTCCCAGCTACTTGGAAGGCTGAGGCAGCAAAATCTGTTGAACCTGGGAGGCAAAGGTTGCAGTGAGCGAGATCGCGCCACTGCACTCCAGCCTGGGCGACAGTGCGAGACCCCCCCGCACCGTCTCAAAAAAAAAAAAAAAAAAAAAAAAAAAAAAAAAAAAAAAAAAAAAAAAAAAAAAAGCGGGCTTCAAGGAGCATACAACCATTCTCATCAACATGAGACATTGACTTGTAGACAATTTCTGTAACTTTCATAAAGCTGGCTAAAAGCCTCAGTCAGTATTTATATAAGAATACATGTCTGTTCTTGTTTTTCAAAAATGCCTAGAACAGTTGGTTCCTCAGATAAACCTGTGAGATCCTTTTATTCAGTAAAATCAGTGTATCCAGAGGTACTTGTTTCCCCGCCTTCTGGGGAATTAGGTCTCAGATGGAAACGTCCCATTTCAAAAGGCCTTGCGGTATCTATCTCTGCCTACCGCTCGTTTTACAGCCTCACTTTAAAATGTTAGTCTGTTTTTTTAAAAAGGGTTTGTGACGGCATCTGCCATGGTAATAAAGTGTAAGCAACCTCGCGCTAGGTACTGAACAATTTCATAACTTTGAACTCTCCAAAATGTTCTAGAAGCCAATATAGAAAACCCAGAAATTGCAATTTTTGTTTGCAGAAGGAGCACGAGACCGGGTTGTGTTCGCCCTCCACCAAGTACCCAGGGCTAGCATACAGTCGGTCTAACACACAACCCAGGCTCTGTAAACTTTTGCTAAAAGAACGAATCAGCAAGGAATAAGTAATGGAGAGTAATGATGAATAATAATGATTCCATTCTTCCTGCTGTCGTGGGTCTGGCAGGAGTAAATTCCGGCCCGGATTCCGACCCCAGGCCCAGAGCGGGACTCCCCTCTGCGCCCAGGAGGGGGCGGGACCTGAGGGGCGCTGGAGGGGCGCGGCGTCAATGGGGACCCCGCCCATGTTGGGGGCGGGGCCTGCGGCGCGCGGGAAGAAGGCGCGCGGCGCGGGAGGTGACGGCGCGGCTGACGGTCCGGGTCACTGCAGGTACAGCTTCCCGGGGTTGGTCCAGGGGGCTTCGCGGCATTTCTGGTCGCGTCGGTCTCGAGCCAGAGGTCCTTGCCGACGGCGGGCAGCTGGGGCCCAGGGATAGCTCCCGAGCGGCGCGCGTTTGGGCGGCGGGGCCCCGTCCATCCCCTGGCCCCGCGCGGCCTCCTCCCGGCGGCCTGCGTCCCAGCTTCCTGGGCCCAGTGCCCGGTCCCTGGGAAAGGTGGGGTTCTCCTCTTGCCCCACCGCCCGGGTCCTCTACCCTGTTTGGCCCCCTCTTCCGGGATGCCCCTCGCCGGGCGGGCCCCTCCCCCGGCTCCCAGGACGCGCCCTCAGCCCCCACTAAGCGGGAACTGGCCGTGCAGCCGGCCCGGGCCCCTAGGTAGCCTCCACCTGGGTGTTTCGTTTGGTTTTCTGGACGTGGCGGAGTATCATTAACTTGTGGACTTAAGGGCCCAGCGAAGCATTTTAGGTGGAGCTAGCAAGGTGTTAATGTCAGATGGCAACGTTGACATCCTTTCCCAGCGCAAAGTGATGCGTTTTAAATGGCCCCTGACTCCTATTCAACGCTCAGTAACCCTTTGCTGCTGCTGTAACACTGTCGTTTAATCCATCACCAGCATTTTGCAGCTCTCCTCTGTTTTGAAGCAGAACTGTGCCGGAGAAACGTTTTGCCCCTTCGAGACTCAGGAGGATGAAAGTCATCACTTGTGAAATAGCCTGGCACAACAAGGAGCCCGTGTACAGCCTGGACTTCCAGCATGGAACAGCCGGAAGGATCCACAGACTGGCGTCTGCAGGCGTGGACACCGCTGTCAGGGTAAACTGGGGCAGAGAAGACATAGGAACACTGCTTGAAGCAATTGTTTTCATTCTTTTATTTAAAACTAATGTCGGCTGGGCGCGGTGGCTCAGGCCTGTTCTCCCAGTGCTTTGGGAGGCTGAGGTGAGAGGATCACTTGAGCCCAGGAGTTCAAGACCAGCCTGGGCAATGTAGTCAGAAATTAAAAAGTAGCAAGATGTGGCAGCGTCAGGTGTAGGCCCAGCTACCCTTGGGAGGTTGAGGTGAGAGGATCACTTGAGCCTAGGACTTTGAAGCTGCAAATCCCTAGGAATTTGAACCCTAGAAGGTTGAAGCAATGATCACTCCACTGCACTCCAGCCTGGGTGACAGAGCCAGACCCTTCTCTTAAATAAATGAATGAATGAATGAACGAACGTATGTTGACAAATTCAAGCTACTTTGTCATCTAGCTCAGAATGCTAAATTTCCAGGGCCTGGAGCGAACAATGAAAGTAAAAGAGAGCTGCTTGCTTTTTTTTTTTTTTTTTTTGAGGCAGAGTCTCACTCACTTGCTCAGGCTGGAGTGCAGTGGCGGTGACCTCGGCTCACTACAACCTCCACCTCCCAGGTTCAAGTGATTCTTCTGCCTTAGCCTCCAAGTAACTGGGACTACAGGTGCCTGTCACCACACCCAGCTAATTTTTGAATTTTTAGTAGAGATGGGGTTTCACCATGTTGGCCAGGATGGTCTTGAACTCCTGACCTCAGGTGATCCACCCACCTCAGCTCTGATTTCTTATTTGAGTCATTTTCCCTAGATGATTGTAAGTGGATGTTCATTGTTTTGGGATCCTGATCTGGGTTCCTGTTGGATAACAAGTTGCTCTAGAAAAAAGGTGGAGGGGGACAATAGACATTTATGTTTTAGATAGGGAGTTCTTTCATTTTATGTTTCAAAAGAAAAACTAAATTTTCTTTCTGGAAATAAACATAGTATTTTATTTTTTTTTTGAGGCATAGTCTTACTCTGTCTCCCAGGCTGGAGTGCACTGACCTGACCTCCCAGGCTCAAGTGATCCTCCCACCTCAGCCTCCCTGGTAACTGGAACTACATGCATGTGCCATCACACTTGGCTAATTTTTAAAATTTTCTGTAGAGACAGGTCTCACTATGTTTCCAGGCTGGTCTCAAACTCCTGGCCTCAAGTGATTATTTGCCCACCTCGGCCTCCTGAAGTGCTAGGGTTACAGGTGTGAGCCACTGCATCTGGCCCATGGTATTGTGCGTGTGTGGTTTTTTTTTTTTCTTTTAAATGGAGTCTTGCTCTGTCGCCAGGCTGGAGTGCAGTGGCACGATCTCCGCTCACTGCAACCTCCGCCTCCTGGGTTCAAGTAATTCTTCTGCCTCAGCCTCCCGAGTAGCTGGGACTATAAGCACACACCACCACGCCCAGCTAATTTTCGTATTTTTAGTAGACATGGGGCTTCACCATGTTGGCCAGGATGGTCTCGATCTCTTGACCTCGTGATCTGCCTGCCTTGGCCTTCCAAAGTGCTGGGATTACAAGCATAAGCCACCTCGCCCAGCCCATAGTATTGTTCTAATACAAACAGTATAATATGTGCTCACTCTGTGTTTCTCAAATGAATATTTTGTTATCAACAGATCTGGAAGGTAGAGAAGGGACCAGATGGAAAAGCCATCGTGGAATTTTTGTCCAATCTTGCTCGTCATACCAAAGCCGTCAATGTTGTGCGTTTTTCTCCAACTGGGGAAATTTTAGCATCAGGAGGAGATGGTGAGTCTTGCTGTTCTTCAGAGACTCTTTAGGAACCAGATAGATACCTGTGTGTCTTGTGTCAGATAGTGAGATTTGAGCTGGATATGCTTTTTATTTGAGGTGTGGCCGGTCCTCTCAATCTGTCATTTGGGTAGCTAAGTAAAATAATGTTCTAGGGAGTGCGTGAGAGTCGTGGGAGGGAGGACAGCAAGATTAAATCCAGAAGACCTGTTTGAAAACAGCTGCTTTCCCACTAGCTCCCACCAAGCTGGCTGTTCTAAGACAAGAGGGAAAGGCACTTACCCCTCTGTCACATCCCAAGCAAGGTGACTGTTCTGGTTTCGTTTGATTGTTAGTTTAATATCTGGTGACCAGAGTTGGTTCTGTGTCTCTGTGTGATTAATTAACTGGCTTTGGGAGTATTTTTTTTTAGTTTCATGCTTGTTGCCCAGGCTGTAGTGCAATGGCTCTATCTCGGCTCATTGCAACCTCTACCTCCCAGGTTTAAGCGAGTCTCCTGCCTCAGCCTCCTGAGTATCTGGGATTACAGGCACGCGCCACCATGCCCAGCTAATTTTGTGTTTTTAGTAGAGACAGGGTTTCTCCATGTTGGTCAAGCTGGTCCTGACCTCAGGTGATCCGCCTGCCTTAGCCTCCCAAAGTGCTGGGATTACAGGCATGAGCCACTGTGCCAGGCTGGGAGTATTTTTTTTTTAA